GGAAACTCTGGCGGAAGTTCATGTAGGAATTTCATGTCCCTGAGCTTTGGGGTGGAGTTTTTGCCCTCTGAGTGGAGTCAGTCTCTTCTGAGGCCAGTCTGGATGGGTGCCCTGACCCTTACTGCTTCATTTCCGAGTGAGGAGAGCCACACAGTGTCTGGGTTGGCTGGTGAGGGAGGGAGGCTGTAGTGTGGCACTGCACCTTTGTCCTCCTCTTGTCCCTGCCCTGAAGCCATGGACTTCTCTCTCTCCAGGGACATCTGCGATGCTGTGCACATTCTTACATGCTCAGGGTTGCTTGGAGAAGTCAGCCATTTGGAAGATCATATTTGTTTAGTTTCATGTCTGTACAGTGTACCTGGTTCTGGGATCAGTTTGTTGTTGCAAGAGGAGCAGGAAAAGAATGTCTTCCCAGCATTAATGGATTTTTTTTAAAAATTTAATTTTATTTTGTTATGTTAGTCACCATACATTACATCATTAGTTTTTGGTGTAGTGTTCCATGATTCATTGTTTGCATATAACACCCAGTGCTCCATGCAGTACGTGCCCTCCTTAATACCCATCAGCAGGCTAACCCATCCCTCCACCCCCCTCCCCTCTAAAACCCTGTTTGTTTCTCAGAGTCCACAGTCTCTCATGGTTCGTCTCCCCCTCTGATTTCCACCCCCTTCATTTTTCCCTTCCTTCACGTAATGTCCTCCATGCTATTGCTTATATGTTCCACAAATAAGTGAAACCATATGATAATTGACTTTCTCTGCTTGACTTATTTCATTTAGCATAATCTCCTCCAGCCCCATCCATGTTGATGTAAAAGTTGGGTATTCATCCTTTCTGATGGCTGAGTAATATTCCATTGTATATTATGGAAGGGTAGACCTTCCTTCCTTAAAGAAGACCACATCTTCTTTACCCGATTTTTTTATCATAAAAAACTTCAGATACACACAGAGGTACATTTTATTTATCGTTTATCCATCATTATATGTCCGTTACCTGGCTTCAGTAGTGACAATGTTTTTGCCACATTTGCTTTACTGTCCTTTTTTTACTGTCTTGTTTTTTTTTCTGAAGCATTTGAAGACCATCTTGGACCCATCTCATGTCACTTCACTCCTGCAAACTTCACTATACACCTCTGAGAACACTGACATTTGTTTACATGACTCCAGTGGTGTTGGCACACCTTAACACAGTTGGCCGCATTTCTTGTACAATGTGATAACCCCATCTCTAATCATGTTTCCTCACTTGCCTCCTTTCAGCAGCTGGTTTATTGGAATCAGATTCCAAAGAAGGTCCTCATGTTACATTTGATTATTAGGTCTTGAGTCTCTTTAATCTAGAGTCACTCTCCACCACGACTCCCCATTTCCAGGCTATTTACTTGTTGGAACAATGGGCAGCTGTCCTGTGGACTGGTCACACTTTGGTATTTTTCTACTTGCTTCCTGGCATTTCTTCTATCCCTCCTGTTCCTTTAAATAAAAATGATGTCTAGAGTCTTGGTTAGGTCCTGGTTCAGTCTTTTGGCAAGAATATTTCAGAGTGATGCTGTGTGTTTCCTATCGCATCGTATTGGGGGGCACACAGGTCTGGTTGCTCCTCTTTTGAGTAATGCTAAGATTGGTGAGTGAGTTTAGGTGGTAATAGCCTGATCCTTGCGATGTAAAATTCCTGGTCATGGTCAGGTATTTCGTTAGGGTTACACATTTACTAGCTGGGTTGTTGCATTACCTCAAAAGATAGTTCATAGAGGGGCATCTGGATGGCCCAGTCAGTTAAGCATCTGACTCTTGATTTCAGATCGTGATCTCAGGGTCATGAGATTGAGCCCCGCATGGCGCTCCGCACTCAACAGGGTGTCTGCTTGAGATTCTGTCTCTCCCTCTGCCCCTCCCCACCACGCTCTCTCTCTAAAATAAATAAATCTTAAAAAAAAAAAAAAAGCTCATAGAGGAAAGATAGGATGGAGGCACAGTTCTTTCCTTTTAATTGCCAGTTTTCAGGGTAAAAAGTTGGTGGCCTAGTTACTTCCAGTTTTATTCAGTGCCTTGAATCTCTGTCTCTCTGCCTCTGTCTGTCCCTCTCTCTCTCTCTCTCTCTGCTCCCCTCTACCCCCATTCCTCACCCCTGAAATCATTGTGAAATCTGAGGTTTTGTATATTTAATTTGTTTCAGTAGATTGCGTTCATTATTCCTTTTGATGCTCAGTTGTCCCATTCTTGGCCAATGGGAGTCTCTTCATAAATTGGCATTGGTGTTCCTTTGGCATGACTCTCTTGCTCTCTTGCTTTCTGGAATAACAAGATGTCCCAGGCTAATTTTGTAAAATGCTGCTCTGGCCTTGAAATCAGCTGCTCCTTCAAGGATCCCTGTGTCTTTTGGTGGAGAAGGGTGTTTTGCTGTTGGTTGTCATTGCTTCTAGGTCTTTTTGGTGGATAGAGCTAAAAAGACATGAATTCAAACTGATAAGTCAAATTTTATGTTGGATTAGTTTTTTCCTTAACTTTGATTTTATGTTTGTATTTGGTTTATCTTACATTGAATCTTGGTTCCTAACATTAACAAAATTACTTGTTTGCTTAATCTTTATAAACACACCAGTGTTGTTATAACTAACAAACTATTGAAAGAAATTTGATTTCTTTGCAGCTCTTTTAAAAAAAGATTTTATTTATTTATTTGAGAGAGTGAGCGAGCACAAGCAGGGGGAGCGGCAGAGGGAGAAGCAGACTCCCCAGCTGAGCAGGGAGCCTGATGTGGAGCTCAATCCCAGGATCCTGAGATCAAGACCTGAGCCAAAGGCAGATGCTTAACTGACTGAGCAACCCAGGCACCCCTCTTTGCAGCTTTTTTGTCAACAGAATATGTCCCGCTAAGTATGTACACTCAGTATGTGGTACTCCGAAGCCCTTTGTGGATGTTACCAACTTGAAAATTAAGGTTCATTCTCTTCATTTGTTTTAAAATTTTAGGTATCATTTTCCTTTTTTTAATTTAATTTTATTTTTGGAATATATATATATACATAAACACATTTCCAAAGCCAAAACTACAAAACAGGGTACATTCGGAAAAGTTTTGCTTCATCTTTGCTCCTTCATCCCCCATAGATAATTGCTTACATTCGGTTTTGTGTTATCCTCCGTATTAATTTGTGCATGTTATGTGAACAAATACATACATTCGCATTCACATCCCTGCTTTGCACAAAAGTTAGCATAGTATATATGCTGTTCTGTGTCTTGCTTTGTTTACTAAACAGTATGACGGGTTTGCTCCATATCAATGCATAGTGTTCTTCCTCATTCCTTTTTTTTTGAGCAGCTAAGCAGCATTTTATTGGAGGAAGTACTAGAGTTGATTGGACCAGTCCCTTGCGGATAGGCCTTTGGTTGTCTGCAGTTTTGCCATGACAGGTACTGCCTCAGTGAATAACCTAGGACATCAGTCACTTCCTATTTTTGCCATTGTATCTTGGGATGGATCTCTAGAAATGTTGTTATAGAACAAAGGATAAATGCATATATTTTTCCAGCCACTGACTATATATTTGCTGAAATTTGGGTATCTAGTTCAATTTCATAATCCAAACACTTCCATTTAAAAGAGTACAGTTTATTTTGCCACTTTAATGTTGAAGAAATCTCATTTGCCCATTACCCTATCTTTGTATGGAATATACTATTGAAAGTGTTACTTGAAGAAGATCTGTTGATTTAATTAATTAATTGAAGTATCAGTTACTGATTATAAAATACAAGAGATGAAAAGATTGCTAAAACATAGTCCTAAATCTCACAAGAGTTCAAATAAATATTTTGGGATTTATTTTATTTCCTGATCATTCTATTTGTTGTGTATTTTGTCCCCTGTTGGTTGTCAAAAGACTGGTAATGAGGCACTGGGAAATGTGCCTCTATACCAGAATGAAGTGGGATATGTCTGTTGGAGGAGAGAGGTTGTCATAAAATATTCTATAGATGCATTCTACAAATATTAATTGAACACCTCCCCTTCACTGGAATGTAACAGTGAGCAACACACAGAGTTCTTTCCTCATGGCATTTATATCCTACTACAAGAAATGTATCAAAAACCAAGGAACAATAAGATAATCACAAGTTTTGTGTGCTTTGAAGGAATCAAACAAGAGATTAAAATAGAGTCTCAGTCAGGGACCTTCCTCAAGTGAGGGAGGGGCAGCTGACACAGCAAGCCACGTGCCAGGTGGGGGAGAAAGCATTTCAGGCACTAGCTTGTGGGGTTGAGGACTGAAGGAGAAGGCACAGCAAGGTGTGGGGGAGAGTGGAGGCAAGGTCATGCAGGGCCTTGGGTTTTCACTGAAGGGTTTGGATTTTATTTTAAGTATATCAGGAAACCATTGAGGACAATTAAGCAAGGGAATGACATTCAATACCAATATATCATAGATTTATTCTTTCTATAGATTGGAAGCCTACTCAAATGGGAAGCAAACACTGTCCTTTCTGAAGTTCAAAGCGGAGATAGTTTTCCTTCTTGCTCCTTTATGCAGGACAGCTGCTCCTCATATTCAGGTCTTCTGAGGATTTCTTTTCTTTTTCAATAATATTCCCTTGACGTTGTTTAGATAATTACAGTAAGTGGTTGTAAGTGGATTATATACTTGGGCTATGAACAGGAGCATGATATCTACAAATTCTCTTCTTCAGACCTGCAAATCCAAGAGATACATCTCTCTGGACGATAAGAGAGCTTCTTCCTCAAGATCAAAAAAGGTCTGTATTGCTGCTGTCATGTTTATATGAAATTAATTATGGAACCAATAGCAATTTTTGGAAAAGAGGCATTTTCAATATATTTACTTATGTTTCTGTTACAGGAGACTGGAGTGAGACCCATGTAGGGAATCCCCAGAAGGAAGGATTGGCACACCTGGAACCCGAGGAGCTTGCTTCCTGGGAAGGCTCCTGTCTGATGTGTAGGAGGCAGAATGTCCTACTGACTCTTCAAGGGGAGGCTACAGGGGACCGAGACCCTCCACCACAGGGGACACTGTGCAGTCCTTTTTCTAGAAGTGGGAAGTACGAGATTGTTCTACAAGAGGAAGATTCCAGGGGCTTACAAACACAGAGGTTTGCACCTTGGGAGCCCCTTGGAATGTTGACAACTCAGGATCTAAAGGAAAGTTCTGTGTTCATGAGTTACAGAATTCATGTGGAAGTAAATGTCACTTTATGATCAATAATAATACTGAGTGAGGAGCACTATGCAGGAAGAAATCTTCCACAGAAATACAGGCAGGGAGAAGCTTAGGCCAACCTTAGACCTACCTAATAGAGCAAGCCTGAGATAAACTGCCAGAATGGCCAAATAAGAGACTCTATGAAATAGCAATTGTGTAACTATAGTAGTCATACAGAAATTTTTTCCTCTAAATCACGATACCAAATAGGAAAAATGATCTACAAGTGCCCCATGTGTAGGGAATTTTTCTCTGAGAGAGCAGATCTTTTTATGCATCAGAAAATTCACACTGCTGAGAAACCCCATAAATGTGACAAGTGTGACAAGGGTTTCTTTCATATATCAGAACTTCATATTCATTGGAGAGACCACACAGGAGAGAAGGTCTATAAATGTGATGATTGTGGTAAGGATTTTAGTACTACAACAAAACTTAACAGACATAAGAAAATCCACACAGTGGAGAAGCCCTATAAATGCTATGAGTGTGGCAAAGCCTTCAATTGGAGCTCACATCTTCAAATTCACATGAGAGTTCATACAGGTGAGAAACCCTATGTCTGTAGTGAGTGTGGAAGGGGCTTTAGTAATAGTTCAAACCTTTGCATGCATCAGAGAGTCCACACCGGAGAGAAACCCTTTAAATGTGAAGAGTGTGGGAAGGCCTTCAGGCACACTTCTAGCCTCTGCATGCATCAGAGAGTTCACACAGGAGAGAAACCCTATAAATGTTATGAGTGTGGGAAGGCCTTCAGCCAGAGCTCAAGCCTCTGCATCCATCAGAGAGTACACACTGGGGAGAAACCCTATAGATGTTGTGGGTGTGGGAAGG